GACTTTTTCAACGTCTAAGACAAAATTACTTTTAATTAAAAAATCATGGCAAAAAGAAGAGTGAGGGGGAGGGGTTGATTGCAAGGAGATAGGGAGGGGCGGTTTGGGGAGGGGCGAGGGGGAGGGGGGGGGGGAGAGAGAAATCCACAAAATTGTTGTTTTCAATAAAAAATAAATTAGCTTTTTAAATACCATCGTTAAGTGTTTTATTTTTTATGTTTACATGTGCATAAACAATATGCTGATCACTTTTTTTATTTTATAGTTCCAGCTAATTTATTCGCTCGGATAAACACATGGAACACAAAAAGTGGCATTCTAATATATTTAACGAGTATAGTAATTATGCGAGTTTCAAATTCGATTGTAATTTATAATATTATATTTATCGAATATTGAAAATTACAATCCTAATACGTAAAATGCAAAATATTATTAGGATAAAAAAATGTTTGTGATGCTCCATGCAAAATAATTATATACTTGTTAATTAGATCGTAGAATAGATGTGGTTTATCTTCCTCGATAGATTTTCAATTTAATCATTCGATTTATATCCGTATGACGCTTTGGTATTTTTAATTTTGTATGTAAGAATGTAAGAATTGTGCGTGTAAAAGTGCTCATATCGCTCCTTTAATGTGCTAGAATAGATTGAAAATTGTGAATTTTCTATAAATTATTCTAACCCCTGTGCACAACATTCAAATTACGAAAATGTGTTGAAATTTGTTAATCCAATAAATTTGCAATGAAATTTAAGAGTTATAGTAATACTAAGGAAGCAATGTATATAAACATACCGAAGCAAATAATTTTTATTCATAAGTTTATTAAAACTTCAATCTATATATTATACCAACACGATAGAGTAGTGACTGCATACCGGTCACCACAGACACACAACAGCCAATACGTAAAATGGAGCAAGTATTTTACTTCTCGTTATTTCTTGGAAAATAATGAGATTAAGTAAACGAACGAGAACAATTACTGAGTAGGGCAGAAAGTTAATATATTGGTCTTTATGATTCAATGATCCGCAACCACTTTGATGTATTTAATATGTCATTCATATTTATCATGGCGTCATATCGTTACATTGTAAGTTCCACTTTTTTTTCTTTTTGACCAATTAAATAATCGATTTCAATTAAAAATAAAAAAAAAAAAAAAAAAAAAAAAAAAAAAAAAAATAAGACTTTATGTTCTATTTACAATTTATGCAAGATTGAAATACACATGTCCTTCTCTTAATTACAATTTATCATCGTATAAAGTATCAAACAAATATTTTTAACTGCTTATCCGCTTAACCCAGTTCAAAAGTAAGATTAGAAATAACTTTCATGAAACTAATTATAATCGATGATTCAATATTCGATTAGTAAAGTAGAATTGTTGCAATACAGTATAGATTTCAAACATTATCTCTTAAAATCTAATAAGCCTTAGTTATAAAATTATCTCCACACGCGCGCGCATACACGCACGTACACTGCATTTAGAAAAAAAATATTAACATTACATTAATGAATAAGGAATATTTAATTTTGAACTTTATTTGAACAATACTACAAGAAAGTTTGAGATAATAGAAAAGCGCAGATCCAATTTTTTCTTTCTATTAGTATTTTTCTTTTGTAGAAGAAAGTTTTTGTTCTTAATTTGATATCTCATTCTTGATATAACTTATTCTTTAAAAGATAAAAAAAAATTACATTAACTTAATATAAATTTAAAAGACGATTTGCCCTGTACATTATCTCCGTGCTAATATCTTTACATTATGAATAAATATTTCATATATCAAATAGTACAGTTTTGTAAAGACACATATAATTGTGTGTGTGTGTGTGTGTGTGTGTGTGTGTGTGTGTGTGTGTGTGCGCGCGCGCGCGCGTTTATGTATATATGTATGTTTGTAATTACGAAACAAATTGTTTTATTATTTTTATAATATTAAGATATCTTCTTAAACAAAGATATATATATATAATTAATCTTTGATATATTGATATATTAATTGCTTTTGAAATGAATATACTACATAATATGATTATAAATGTTAACTAAATAGTACGAGATAAAATAATAGTTCATAATAAAATAAATTAGATTACATGAATGTGTTATATGAAATATAAATATTGTCTTTTAATTCATTTAATTTAGTTTTTTAAATCATTGTTGGATAATAATACGTAAAAATTTATTATAAACATCTATTTTATAAATTTTTAATTATAAAAAGTATAAAGATAAATAAAATTAAGTTTTTATTTAATTTACATTACTTTTTTTGTAGCATCGTAATAGCCGACCAGTAATTATATACTTTTTACTTTCATAAATAACCTGTTTCGAAAATATGTAAAAACTGAAGTTAACTTCTTAGGAAATCATATATTATGATTTTACTCGTTAAATTTTTATGAAACATTTTTAAATTAAATCAGTAGAACTTAATACTAAACGTGTACGCAAAAAAAAAATTTCAGTACCAACTTTGATACAATCGCTTATTTTAATAATAATGATTCATTTATTTTATGCATCTCGATCTGTTACATATTATTATTCTGCCTTCTTTTTTTTTTATAAATTATTGCTTTAAAATATAATTGACCAAATTTATTAGAAAATAAAAACAAAATCTGCATTTTTTCAGTATGAATGTTTTGAATAAGCGTGAATGTCGTTAAAGAAGTCGTAGAAAATAAAAATAAGTGTCTGAATTTGCTATATTCTAAAAATTTGAAATAATTGTAATTTTTATAATTATTGAAATTTAATTGAAAATGAAAGAATATAAAATATAATTAATTAGTAAAAATAGTAAGATTTGAGTTGATGTTAAATTCATTTAATTAACATTGTGGAAATACATATTTGATTGCTATTTTATCAACAATGTTACATGGTGCTTTTACTACGAAGTTGATTTACCAACAAATAAAGCAGCTGTAAGCAATTATTATAATTTCTTGAGAATTAAAATTTTAAAGTGATTAGTAGATTTTGCAATGAATTTTTATAAAATATGCAGTTATTTAAAACAATTGTAAACAAACATTGTAATTTAATCAGTGAAGTTGTTGTAGATATTATTAAAAATAAGACAAATAAAAAGTTATTCAATATAACAATTTTGAAATGCATATTTTTATTAATAAGAGAATGGACTTAATGAAATTTTTATTCTTCACATGTTTGTAGTCGGATAAATATGTCAAATAAATATCTTTAATAATGAAAAAATTGAACAATAATATAGAAAACTGTTTAAATTAGTTGTTTTATATGTCTTAAGAAAATAAATATTTGGAATAGTAAAAAAACTCATATTTTCATAATAAATTAATTTCAATTGAAAAACATAAATTACAAACTTGTAAAAACTTATTAATTTTATTTAGCAGATCACATATCATAATATTAAGGTAAAAAATGTATAAAATTAATAATATAATTTAATAATACATTCTTTTTTAACTTGAATAAAATTTTTTACAGTATAAAAACAACTTGAAAATTATTTATAAATCAAATTTATTACAATAAAATTAATGTAATATTTATACAATAATTTATTTAATATATTGGAATTTATTAGTATATTTGTAGTAAATTAGCATATTATGAAATAATCTATATAGTAATTATAAAATTATTTATTATTAGTATGTATCAGCATGTAGTATATATATATATATATATATGATAATAGTACTCGATTAATTACCAGTGAGAATAAAGGAAATTATAAAAATTATCGATTATTTGACTATAACATTGTTCTTTAGGGCTATGAATTATTTTATTATTAAGTCAAATGAAATTAACATATGCAAATCATAATTTGAACTAAAACATGAAATATATTTATTTACATTCATTGCAAGCTAAAATATTTATTACTATAATATTTTTGACTATGTAATTAGTACATAACATTAACATAAAAATATATAACAAATAATATTTTAATTTATAAATTATCGGTAAATCTGTAAATCAATATTAATGTTATCTTTCGATTTATTTTAAATCAACAAATCCTATATACGCGCCCCATCCAATTTTTCCTATAATTCTTATTTTAAAAGACTCGTTGATAAACATTTAATGATTAAGTAATAAGATTATGTTCAATTTGTTAATAGTTTGTTTTGTTTTGTTTTTTGTTTTTGTTTTTGTTTTTTGTCTTTTGTTTTTGTTTTTTGTTTTTTGTTTTTTGTTTTTTTTTTGTTTTGAAAAAAAAAAAGCCTTATTATCCAATTAAAAAAAAAAAAAAAAAAAACAATTATTTTTAAATACACTATATTCATATGCATTTTTTATTTACAAAACTGAAGCCATTTATATGCATAATATACAACATATATGCATGAAGTAATAGGCATGATAATCATATAGACTATATAAAACGTATTACCAAGTTTTATTGTTGAGAATTGTGATTTTTCAGTTTACCATAGTTGTCGTAAAGATACTAAGTCTAAAGGAGTACGAACACGTCTTTTCTATACCAATTAAAAAACTCGAATCACATATATCTTTAGAGCATTATTTTATTAAATTTCAATTTGTATTCAAGTCGTCACTGGTGCAAATGTACGTGGAAGAAAAAATTCTACAAGCAATTCAAATACAGTGTTGCCATACTATTGAGAGTATCAATTTGAAAACAAATGAACAAGTTTTATTAATTGTAACGTAAGTTATATATCATAAAATATGAAAAAGCCAATACAAGTTATTCTACTATTGTGCGACCATGTGAAATATATATTATAAACATAAATGTAAACTCTTATAAATAATGTCTTTAAAACATATTGTATATATATATTTTTTGTTTTCTCTTTTATTAATAACCTCTTAAGCCGACAAATTTTTTTTATAATTTATTAATTATCGTTGTATATATCGTTATATAATAAATTTATTTAAATTTAATCTTAATTATTATATAATTATTATTTATATAGATATATTGAAGAAGTATATAAGATGGCAAGTGAAGCAAGTAAAGAAGAATTGCGGTCCGAGCATCCTAATTTAGAAACTTGTGAAGCAGATTCGAATCTAAGGTTCGAGTCTCCCAAAAAAGGTACGACTCTCTCGACAAGCACAAGTAGTTTTGAAGCTTTGGATCCGCACGATCCTAATCTTAGTCGACTTGCAAATACAATGTTCCAAAAGACTAGCGAGTATCTTCAAGAAGAATTAACTGCGACTCACGAAGACTATAGACTACTGGAGCGATTGAATAAAGAAACTAGTGCTAAGTATTCAGAACTTAAAACTATTTCTTCAAACGTTTCTCAGTCATTGGATTTACTTAATCAAAAATACAAAAAATTACAACCAGTTCTTGATAATATAAATCAAATAGACGATAGTGTAACGAAATTGGAACAAGCAGCTTATAAATTACTTGCATATTCAAATAGATTAGAATCTAAATTTAAAGATATTGAAAAGGATATTAAAAAGTAATAATTTCTTTATCTCGTTGTTATTTGTTAGTTATTTGCTATATAGTTATTTTAAAAATTTTTTGCTTTTGCTAATCGATGAATACATATTTTGCAAAACTACATTTTCAGCAACATCTGTGATTCAATAATAATTAATATAATTAGAATTAATTGTTGTATGTAATATAAATCACATTTATATACATGTAAATACATAATCATTTATATGTATAGTTCAAAGTTTCAATAAGTTAAGTTTTATCATCTACAATACAGTATTTATAGATAATAAAAGTCTATAATAATTAGTGTAAAATCATACAAATTTATTGACGTTTATTATAAGAAAAAAAATTTTAAAAAAAAAAAAAAAAATTAAAAAAAAAAACCCCCAATCTTAAGTAAATAATTATATTTTTTGCATATTGCAACATTCTATTACGGTAATTATTTAATTTAGTTGTAATATGTACTGTAATTTCAATATATTTGAAAACAATATGTTATACATGAAGGATTCAGTAAAATAGACAGCTTTTTTTTTTTTATGAGATATTAATTTATATGAATAAAGGATTATATACAAAAGTGATTTGTTTTAACATTAATCTTTATTAATAATTATTAAATGATATGCAATAAGAATATTATGATATACTTGACAGTAATTTTAATATCAATTAATTACTGTAAATAAGAATTTTACAAGATTAATTCAATTTTCAATAAGTATAATTTTTGTGTAAAATGAAAGTTTTTATTGCTTAAATTATTTCCTTTATTTTTTTGACATTGATAATATTTAAATTTAAATCATATGAATTCATGAAAATACTACAATTTAGACATGTTATTCTTATTTCTATTATTTTAATATATACAATCATACACACACGCGCGCGCGCGCGCGCACGTATATATTTATTTATTTTTTTTTTAAAGACACTGCATGGCGTACAGATCAGTTATATAGGAAACCATGGAACATAAATAATTGGCTAGTGAGTAATATTATTAAAAATTTATTGGTATTTATATACATAAAATGAAATGCAAAAAGTTTAAGAAAAATGAGGATAAAGAATTTTGAATTATATTTTGAGTTATACGACATTTATATCCAATTAAATTTTTAAATTTAAATTACACTTCAATTATTTTTATTTAACATTTTTCGTGAACTTTTTACCACTTTTTATCATATACTTTTCAAAATGATGAAAAAATATGTAAAATAAACAATTTTAACTCCATGTTTCTCTCTTTTTATTCATAAGATGCCAAACAATTTTACTATTACTTACGTTACTATATTTTCATTATTAATATTTTTGTTAATTATATAGAAAAAAAAAGAAAAAAAAAAGTATCGTTTCATTGAAATTCAATAATTTTTTTTTTTTTTTTATCGTCGTTAATAAATAAGGTTAAACAGGTAGTTTGTATCGAATAATTTGTTATAAATCAACTTACGAAAACATTCGATTAATAAATTTTTAAGTAACGTATAACAATGAAAGTGGTGCTGCATATATCCTCTGTTTGGTAAAAAAAAACTAACCATTTGTTACATTATAAATTACTTCCATTTTCAAAAGTACATACAAAATTTATTATTTTTTTTTAGCACAAAAAATTTAACTACAATCCTTTCTGAAAGGAAGTACTGTTAAATAAAAATTTGAATATTCTATTTAACATTTTAAAAGCTTTATTAACTAAAGTTGTTTAATTGAACAATAAAGTGTATTAACGCGGCTATTTTACGTTTTAGTAAAAACTCATATTTTTGTTAATTAAATTGCTTTTTAGTTTCATCAGTGGAAATGTTTTTAACGACCTATAGTATGTATTTATAATAATTATACGATGTGAAGTTGTTGTATAGCCAGCAAATAGATTTTTCGCAGCTTTATATTTGGCTGCTTCTTCAGAATTCAGGTTCATATGACAACAGACTATAATCTCTCGTTAGTTATCAATCTAGATCTTTATCAATGAGGTGAGAAACCGCACCTACCTAAGTCCATATTTATCCATAGTATTAGAAAAATGAATTAAGCCTGAGCTTTACTTTATGATAAACAGTTTTATCACCAAGGGATATCCATTTTTCTCATTAAAGATCATATAACAAACCCTAAGTAAACATAGATCTCTTGCATTTCTTTCAATTCTTGCTAAGCCTCCAAACAGCAAATTCAATGCATTTATGTTTAGCAGTCTAAGAAATTTCCAGCCATTAAAAGTTCCAAAGCTATTTCTGGAGCAATTGGAAATTCTGGAATTTCTGTACTGCTGTTTGTGTATCGGACTTTGTACGTGAAATACATACAAACTTTTTGTAACACATGCGATCTGCAAAGAATAATTTTATTTACAAACTTCATATCGTTACAGATAAATTGAAGAAATATGTTCAAATACAGATGTTACGTTAAATTTTTTGATAGAGGATTTAATATTGAAAGAATCTATATTTCAATACTGTTATAAATATGTTTGCAATATCAATTACGTTGATAGCTACAGAAACATATATAAATATATAAATCTTCAACACCTTTGACCCTTTAAATTATTTTTAATGATAAAGTTAAGAACTGATACATACGGTATTTCACGAAAGTTAACTTCATTAGCCTCGTTCTCTGCAAACTGACCAGGTCCACTTAACATGGCTTTGATCGTACCGCTAGTTAAAGCATGTTCCCGTTTAACAATAAATTCATGACCATCGCTACTGACTAACTTGACGTACATGGCATCCGGTCCTTCGCAACCTCCATATACAGGTCCTGACTCTTGCTGTGAATTTATTTTAAATGCCATTAAAAGCTTTTGTCAAATAAATTGTTAATATTAACCACAATGTGCGAATAAATCTAAAGTGAACTTAAAATTCTAAATACTATTCGATTAAAATAAATAATATGAAAATTGACACAAGGAAAATTGAAATTTTATAAAAACATTGTTCTCAAATTGGAATAATTATTTATAAAACATATACTTTATTAAATAATTAACTATGTGACATATGTGAATAATAATTAAATTAAATAAACGTTTAAATAAGCTATAAATCGTAGGAATAATATTCGTATCTGATATCATTGAAAATAATTTGTTACTAACAATGTATTTGTACTCTAACAATAATTATAAGCTAATGGAAAACCAAATTACTTATAATCGTTTGCTACACTACTTTATAGGTTTATTATACATGACAGAGTTAATTTTAGGAATAAAAATTTTACTTATAATAGAAAAGGTAAAATGTGCAATTAATTGTTTAATATTAAATAGACTAAAATAACATACCTTTTCAGCTTGCATATTCATATCTCCTGACATTTTTCAGTTGAATATATTTTAATTAACCTAGAAAGGCAAAAATAAGATGTAAATTAATATTTTTAAAACTAAGGCTATTTAAAAATAACCTCAAAAATCCCTTTCATCTTTAATATACACTAATTCTTAATTTTCCATTGGCATAAGAAATACTTTAATATAATGTATTAAAAATAATTTTACAAATTTAAAATTTAAACTATTTACAAAACATTGGTTTAAAAATAACATTTTTATTTGTAAATTTATCACCATACCATAAGTATTCCTTGGCGTCAACAATGATTGTGCAAAAATGATTAAAATATGTAATAAAAAATATATAATAAACGTTATTTTACCTAATTAAAAATGATTCTGTATAAAAAATTGAGCTTTCCTTAATAATATTTTTAATTTTCACGGATAAGGTAGTATGACCAGCAAAAACTATGAAATTTTGGTCATTGACGCAAGAACGGCAACAAAGTCAAATTTATAAGGTTATCGATAAAAAAAAAAATCAAATTACTTTTTGGCAACATATGAGAATCGGTATTCTTTTTAATTTGCAGATAACGCCTACGCATAGTCCACGTCAAATGGACATTCAAATTATTTAAATAATAAATTGCTTTCATTCGAGTCATGATATTCTAAATTTTTAAATAATTTAATTTTCAAATCTTCTTTTTGTCGTAAATTGCTTAGCAATTTATGATGCAATGACGTACAGAAGAATTTTTGCTTGAACAATTTTATTTTAAATACGTTTAAATGTAATATCATTATTAATTTTTCCTTTAAATTTTAAAATTTGTCCGCCAAACTTGCATTTTTCTCAAAGTTTGAATATCAAGGACGAATAATAAAAAATAAACAAATTGTATGGTAATATAATTTTTTATTATTACTTTTAAGACAAATTCTGGACTTAAAAATGTCAATACAATTTTTATTTTATAATCAAATCATTTCATAATGTGTATATCTCCTGTACACTTAAAATAGCTTTTAGCGTCTTTGTTAAAGTTTAATTTAAAATATTATTTAAAAAATAAAAAAATAATTACCTGTTTCATGGAATAAACTAAGGCGCGAAATAATCCAGGAACTAAAGAATCATTTGAAAATGATTGGAATAAACTTTACACGTTTAACATAAGTAATAAATCTTGTTATAAATACAGATTTCTTATACAAATATCTATTTAACAGAAGAATTTGCAATAACATTTATAAAGAATAATAATTAACTTTATTACAATAATTTAACCTAACATTGTTTCTATCGTGTTAAACATTTTATTATTAATTGTTTTATCGGATTAAAGATATTTACGTATAATGGAGTCAACGGAAGATGTAGAAATAAATATGTAAGTTTATGTTGAAAGAGAATATTTATATGAAAAGTTTTACTTAAACATTTTATGGAGTTATACTTTTTGGTTTATCATTTCTATCAGTTTTTGTATTTTGTACATAACCTCTAACTAATTATGAAAATAATTTTTAAAAATGCAAACGTTACATGTAAATTATTTACCAACATTTTTTACATGCACTGAACTACTTTAAAACTTAAATAAAAGTAAATAATATATTAGACTTAGAGAAAATATTAAATAATAGAATATAAATTGTATATTGTATATAAATTATTTTATGGCTACTTTTAATTTCATTGCATTAACAGGTGTTTTTAATTAATAAAAGAAGTATTAACAAAAGAACTGCTTTACATTGGTCTTTGTGAAAATTTAAATATTAATTTTAGCGTTGTTTATTTACAAAATACAAATAATTTTGAAATTATTATAAATATAATTTTAGACAGAAAAGGACTTCGGAAGAAATAGATGAAATATTTAAATTAGCAAATATAAATGAATCAGACATATCACCATTAGTACAAACTTTGTATACATCAATGCCACTTAACGAACAAAGTAATGACTTTAAAGTATTAGAGCTCGACGAACATTTACTGGAATCCCTACAAATTGGAGACTGGTTTGTAATCAATAAGATTTGCTAACGATAGAGAAAAACACGATAGTTCAATTTATTTATTTTAATTGTCTTATTACGTATGTCTTTATAGTTTTATATTTTTAATTAATAATAAGTCTTAATATTTCATTTGGAAAATTTTGTTTTAAAAGAACAGATTATAAATAATTAAAATTATTAATAATCAATAATACATAGATGTAATATAATAATAATATTATTTATATTTAATCTTATAACATAATTAGAATTACATTTATTATTTTGTAAACAACGATATATCGTAGAAATTGTTTGTTATATTAGCTTATCATTTCGTGGTGATAATAAAGAATCGGCTGTTTTATGCAGTAGTACTAGAACATACGAAGTGAAAGAAGCCGAGACATCAAATACATGTCTTTTAATACCCAATTTAAAGGATGAAGTATTATTGGAAGAAGTGGAAGGTCGGATTATTAAGGAAGTAGAAGTTAAAGGAATGTACAGTACTTACCTTGAGGTGTGTAAATTTCAAATGAAAATTATATTATAAAAGTTAATAGGATAAAATAATTTTTTTATATTATAGGTAAGAGAGTGCGGTCCCAAATTGAGTAAATTGCAAGTTGTATTGGAACCGTCGTCGTTTAAAGGTTTAGAGTACGAAAAACTAATAGATAAATCCACTCTTTATGACTGGGAGAGACTGCGAAATGAAATACAAGCTAGCGACGGTGAAATATTAGATGCTCTTCCAGAATATTTAATAGCTTGTATGGATGGTAGGTATTGACATTTTACTTTCATATTCTGTTGAAATATGCATAATTTTATTTACTTGGTATAAAAAATTCAAAAGGTTATTATCGTCTTATTGGTTTCGAGTTTGAAGCCAGAGCTTTACCTTTGATGTTAGATTTAATTGAAGAAAATTCTTGGGAAATCGATGAGATTGATAAGGAATTTTCTTACGCGTGCTTAGAAGAAATTGTTCCAAGGCCTATTTTTGATGTATTATTTAAAAAATATACAGTACCAAGTACAAAAACAACAGACGATGGAACTCAACTATATAAGTATGACATTTTATATTCTACAATCATAAGTTATTCATAATTTTTATAAATTGTAATCATTTCTGTAGGTATAACGAGGCAAGATCTAGCAGGCTCTTGGCTCAAATATTACTCACCGCGTGTCCATCCAACAGTTACACTGACTTTATGGAGGCCTGGAAAATTGGAAGTCCTGATAGTATACAACCAAAAGAGGAATACCTTCATGGTATAGCTATTGTAATATGGAACAGTCAGACTATTAGAAAAGAGGTTGTTCTATATCCAGAATCAAATTTACCAGAAAATATCAACAAAAGATTACACGATCTTTTTAAAGTGAAAGAAAAGTGGACAATACAGGAAATAACACCTTATATATCGTGAGTAAACGAGAAATTTCTTAATTTTATTTTTAATTATTGAAATTAACAAACAATTTTGTGTTAATTGATTATATTTTATTATAGAAAATATGTAACGCGCAAGCAAGATGTAAATGCTATTTTAACAAAGTATACTCGACCATCCGTAGTTAGTGGAATAAGATATTATAGCGCAAAACATGGAAAATAAGAGTTATTGTATTGTATCTTATAAGAAATTATAATTTTTTGCATTTCAAAGAAACAATTTTATATCAAATATTGTAAGAAAAAGATTAAATATCTTTTATACATTTTATAATTATACTTTTTCTACAATGTCAAACTGATCGGAAGTAAATGAAAATGATAGATTGTCAAATTTTGGTTCTCCATTTTTATAAATACCGTTCATTACTTTTAATATTGTATATTATTTAGATTAAATTAATCACGTTAAGCATTGATTTTCTGTTGACAGAAAATAAAAGACAATAACTAAATGATGACTTAAATGTAAAACTATGTTAAAAGAAAAATGGAAATAATACTAATGAAGAATTAAAATAAATAGAAGATCATAGAACATCATAAGGATGTATTATAATTACAAAAAAAAAGAAATTTATCTTTTAATTTATATTATAATTTTTTTTATTTGTTGCCAACTACGGCATACAAATAATTTAAGCAATACGTTCATAATGAAAATTGACGAGGCATTAATCAGATAAGCACAAAGTGACCAGGAAAAAAGTTATTTATTTAACGCCTCGGTACTCACAGTTAAATGATCGTGGAATCGATCCTATAAACAATGAAAATTTTTAATATATTTATGATTTGCAGAGGTATAGCCGAGTCAATAATAAAGCACATTGCAGTTAAAATCAGAAGTTTAATTTATTTGTCCATACATAATCATAATCAATAATTATTATAATAATACATCATTACATTTACACAAATTTACAAACACCTTTAAACGAGATGACAATATTCGAAGTTCTTTTTACGTTTAATTAATAAAACTGAATAAATATTTTGACTATAAATTTTACGCTTTTATTTATTTATTTATTATCCTTAACAATAATATCTCAACAATATTGTTAATTTAAAGTCATACAAAATCTATGATTGCAAATGTTAATAATTATTAGCTAGATTAATAGTATTGTACTTTGGATAATTTTTTTCAATGTGGCTTAATGTAATACATACGTGGTAATGTGTATAATTATTTTGTGTGTAGCGCGTGTGCGTGTGCGTGTGCGCGAGCCAATATCTATATATAATGTTGAGATATGCATAATTGATTTATATAAATTTGTCACTCGTTTTTGGCAAAAAAACAAAAAAACAGAAAAAAAAAAAAAAAAAAACACAGATATTGCTTTGTATAAATTGTCGGTGACAAAGCCTTGTTATATTTATTTGAATTTCTTAAATAATTCTATTATTCTTTTGCAAAGTGATGAGAACTTTTCAATCAATGTATGCCTCAATAGGAACTGATGATACATACCACCAAATATGACTGATATATTTCTATTTTTATTTTACGATTTTCTTCATATTTTATATAAAACATCCCGTATAAACGTCACAAGCCGGTACAATAGTCGTTAATTAATTATTTAAGTAGATAGAACATTCGGTCACATTCTTTATCATCGTGTATAATATAATCATCATGTCCTTGCATAACGCGCGTTTGATTTAAAAAAAAAAAAAATTTTTCTTTTTCTTCTACATACCTATGTAATATCTACGTGTAAGCGAATACACAATACGAGGAATTGATTATGAAATTACGAATTCATTTTTTAAGAACCCACTTGTAAGCTTATCGGCTTTAAAATATAATTAATATTTAAATTACGTGTTGGCTTTGTCGTAATCGCGGACACTCTTGTTTAAATATACAAATACAGATTTATACAATATAACTTCATACATATAATATTATTTAACTGACTACCAATAGCAGGTGACGCAAGGTAACAAACGATTGTAACTTACTGTCGATGAAATATTGTAATAGCAATTATTGCATCCACTCGAATATCAAAATTATTATTATTGCAAATTCGTTGATATAAAAGTAGAAAGAAAAGTGAGAATTATGTCGATTACAAAATGAAGAAGATAACAAAAATAATAATAATAATGATAAGAAAAATATAGACGTTCGAAGTAAATATGTTATACGTCACCATATAATTGATGTCGTTATATATAATTTATATAACAAATATCGCAACGGTAATTCGAAAGCTTTGGAGTCGCGATTTTAATGTAGTATCAGTGACTGAAATTCTATCAACCGACATTGTTATCGCTAGAGAATACTGTCCTATGTATAAGTACGTTTTTCCTTTACGCGTCAAAGATGAAATGTGAAATAATAAAAAATAAATTGCCTGCTCGACGAGAGAAGCACATCGTCATCAATATTGATATGATCGTTGAGCACATGCAAGTGTCAAGCAGTAATCAATTATTACGGGTAATGTAATAATGGGTTGGATGGCTGGGAGTTGGTTGGCGGTTAGGCGGAGAGGGGGGGGAGGGGGGGTAACTTTTCGCTTGATTCGTATTATTTACAACATTCGCTGAAATTGGTACCGATTAGCAGCTGATTTCTCAACCCAAATCACGTTAACCACTTTTCTAAGAGCAAAATCATATCAAAGATAAGTTTTCTAAACAGCCAAGTGTTTATTCGCACTTTCTAAAAAATCATCGTAACTTGGTTTAATCAATGATGCACTATTGGCAGTGATTCGATTCGATTCGATTCGATTCGATTGGATTCGATTCTATTCTATTCTATTCCATTCTATTCCATTCTATTCCATTCTATTCCATTCTATTCCATTCTATTCCATTCGACTCTATTCCATTCGATTCTATCCCATTCGATGCTAATAATTGAAAGAGAACTTTGATAAGGTTATTTTTTTAAATGCGCACCGTTCTAGCAAATTATTATTCTAAACATACTCACTCGTGATTTTAGCGTTAAAATTAAATTAAACAATTCGCCAATCGAATATCATTACTTTCATGCATTTTTTAACGTCAAAATTTTATAACCAACGAGTGTTTATAATGTCCTTAGGATTATTATTTTTATTTTTTTTATTTATTTATTTATTTTTTTTTTCTTTTGTTATCTAAGAAAGATCCCGTAAAATCCCGCTATAATATAAAATAATTCCCAAAAATGTTACGTATCGGAACGTTCTTAAAATGCTTAACCCAAACGACTATTCCAAGTGTTTAAAAGAAGAAGAAGAAAAAAAAGGATATAAAGCTTCATCACGAACGATGATGCCGCCTCCTCCCTGCTTCTTCCACAATCTTCAAATGTTATATTGCGTGACGCGATTGATCATTATTATAATTAAATAGAGTTGTCGCCTTATCGTTAGCTGTCGTTCGTCTCAACCTCCTTGCCAATAATCTTGCTGTTGAATACCGAGCCTTGACCCATGTCCATCGACATGGGCACCTGATGCTGCTGAATAATTGGCGTTTTCGTTTGGATTATAGTACAAGAGACCGGGACGACGGGTGGAAGATTCATGGAGTTAGCGCTGTTGCAAGAGAGAGATGGGCGCTTTCGCTCTAAGCTGTTTGTCGCCATTTGCCGCCTTGCTGTTGAATTGCGCTCGAGGCTGTTGACCATATGGTGTCGTCGCTCCAGACTCGATACCGCGTTTCCCTCTGACTGGCCACCCTTTAATTTTTGTTTATTTGTTTGTTTGTTTTTCTTTATTTATGAGTAATTTTCGTCACATTCGTAATACTTTTCTCTCTCTCTCTCTCTCTCTCTCTCTCTCTCTCTCTCTCTCTCTCTCTCCCCCACGAGATTCGCGCGCTACTGTACATAATATATCCTATACAAGTACATTTCACTTCTACTAAACGATTATTTTGTTTTTTTCATCTTTCTTTATTCAATTTTCTAGAAAGTCAGCGTGAGCAAAGGTTAAAAATTTTATGTCTAACATGGATCTTAATGAATGCGCAACCGCCGCGGGAATTCTTTTTTCATAATTAAACTTAAAATTATACTTAAAATCCAACAGTTTTTAATAGAATCGTAATGCATGATTTAGAAGCTTAAAAAATAACTTGTATTTGGTGTTTTGCGTAAATCAAAAAATAAGTGTTGCAAAAATAAAGTGCAAACGAATATAATTGATTATTGAATTAGAAAATAACAAAAAAAAAAAAAAAAAAAAAAATGTATATGTATGGTAAAAATAAAATAAAATGTTATACCTAACATTAATGGTGAAATAATTATTAATCCTCCATCAGTCCAAATTATCGGGATGCAAGCGAAAGTTCGCATTCACACTTCCCCACTAACAATCAATATCTTGAAGAGTGACCCTAGATTTTGAAAAATCCTTGAATGTCAGGTAATAGTAATTTGTTATATAGGATCGATAAATAATAAGCCGCTTTTTAAGGAATGAACATCTTGCGTATATGATTTATTGCTCGTAAGAATATTGTGATTGTGCATAATAATTTCTCGACTTTGACAATTAAAAGGATAATTAATTGTCATTATTAAAGCTCGTTGAAATGAAATTTCTTAAGATCCATGTTTTCATTTTGCTTCTATGAGCGAGTCCGTGCTGTTAGGATTCATAAAACTATTATCAAATTCTTCAATGCATAGTTATAATTAATCGTATTTTATAATTAAACATTAAATCAACGACAACTTATCGTTTCTTCAAATTTACACTTGATAATCTTGTTGAACATTAAACAATATTATGAATTTATAGATTTAGCGCGTCGCCGTGAGGCTTTATTAGTTATTAACGTGATTATTTACTTGAGATCCTCGATCAACGGATTGTCCCATTCTATGCAGCAACTCTCCGCTTTGACTTTGCCGAAAGCCAGGCATTTGCCTCTCGCTCGATTGGCTTCTTTTCAGCAACTGTTCGCCGGACTGACTCGAACGTATTCGGCACTCTTGGCCAGAGTTTCGTGAATTTGACAATTCATAATGCCTCTGACATATCTGACTATCGACGTACGGGAAACGTATGCGTATCGAATCGATTACGTCCAGCAAGTTTTTAGCATCCATCGCTAGAATGTGAGCTGCCGACAGCATGCCCCTGATGAGAATAAATAGACTTTTAGTTAACGTTTGCCACACCACGGCCTCGTTACTAGAGACTTTTAGGGCAAAAGAAGACAAAAAAAAAAAAAAAAAAAAAAAAAAAAAAAAAAAAAAAAAAAAAAAAAAAAAAAAAAAAAAAAAAAAAAAAAGATTATTAATTAATATGAGTTAAAATTTTTCACTACACTTCTTATCATCTTCAAGTGATCTATAAAAGTATATATATATATATATATATATATATATATATATGTTGCACGTTAAAAAATTTTGAACCAATCATCACTACTAGCACCGCTACATACATCTTAATAATGATTAAAGGTAAGAGAAACGGCCCAACCACGTACACGTAATAAATGACGAACGATCTAGGACAGCGTAATGCGCTTAGGAGAGAGAAGGTGGTGAGACGAGGCGTTAATAGGAAGCGTTATGTTATGAAAATTATAGCAACACTTTACTTTCGATATTCAGCATCGAGGGTCGTGGCACTGTAGTTTTGAGCGAGCTTCATAGCAGTGACAAGCTCGCCCATGTCCTTGCTCAGTACTTTGTGGGCCATTTCCACTTCCCGGTGCGCGGTAACCGGCAAAATCTCGATGAGCGCGTCGACCGATGAGAGAAGCGAACGCAACTCGATACCCACTCTTCTAACGAGGTCGAGGTATTGCTCGGCCCTGCTCTGCTGTACACCTTGGGACAAGGCCATGACAGCCCGAACGACGCTCGTCGTGCAATCGTAAACCTTGTCGTTCGTCCTGTCCAAATCCGCCGTCGGCGTTGGCTCCATTTTCTACAATATGCACGCTCATTATTAATATTGCGCCAATTACACGAACATTATTTAAACGAAACGAATGGGCGAATCGAGGACGACATCCCGATACATACTGTTGTCTTTGTGCCTGGAAAAATCAATTGTCTCATTGATGATTTAATTCTAACTCACCTTCACTATAATAATTTTGTCGGAACTCTTGTCAGAGCCGAGAGATCCCGTACTCGTGGGGTGAGTGTGAGGCTCGTGATTAGGTGATTGCGTGACTGATCGTGGAATTGTCGGACTTGCACTTTCATCTCCACTTGTTGCTATCGACAATCGTTTCTGAGAAATAAAAAAAAAAAATAAAAAAATCAAAAAAAAAAACAAAAAAAAAAAAAAAACAACAAGAATATACATCCGGACGTTTATATTAGACATAGAAGATATCATGAAAACAGATGATGTTTTGTTTTATTTATCGGTCGCGTGTGTGCGCTTTCCGTCGATTAAAAGTTATTCCGTTCTATTGGGGGAATTTATTCCATCATTGACTGTTCTAATCGATCGTTAGTCTAACGTATTAGCGTTAGCAGTACCAATAGAATAAAAGCAAATGAGAAAGAAAGCAAAAAAAAAAAAAAAAAAAAAAAAAAAAAAAAAAAAAAAAAAAAAAAAAAAAAAAAAAAAAAAACGAGAAATAAGGAAACTTTAAACGTAAGAATATGGTTATTTACTTCTTCTCTTGCAAGCCATCGACTGTCCTCTTCAGATTGACGTTGCTGTTCGAGCAAACGTTTTTCCAAAAACTGCTGTTCATCTTCAACGCGTGGATTAAAATCGCCTGTGCTCTCGAACATTTGAGACTGCGCGTTTCTCTGCAATAAAAGACACAAAAGAATATTGTAAAAAAAAAAAAAAAAAACAAAAACAAAAACAAAAGAAAACAAAAAAAATATGTAATTCAACGACGGGCAATGAGTTGAATTATAAAAACATATTTTACGTATATACAGTTTAACAATCAAAGAGTCGGGCAATTCCTCGCATAATATGCTAATGATTGTAATAAAACATTATGCGATATTTTAATTACTTTTTACTCTTCTTTTTTCTTTTTTCATGCATGGAAGTGTATAAATTATAGTTATATATATAAAAATAAAAAAAGAACAAGAAAAAAATGGTTTCATCGTACAAATTATAATAACTATGGTGCTATAAATTCATAATAATCGTCATGCCAATATCTCTATCTTATTACGCATAAAGGATAAAAAAAGAAATGAAAAATAAAAATTTCAATAAAAAATTCAAAATTTGTTCACGATACATTGAAGTATTAATTGAAAACGAGTATATTTTTCATATAAATAAATCAAATGTTATCATTATTGTTATTGTTGTTGTTGTTGTTGTCGTCGTCGTCGTCGTCGTCGTCGTCGTCGTCGTCGTCGTTGTTATTGACGTTATAATAGTCAATATTGTGCAAATAAAAGTATTAATGTATAATTACAAGTGCTTTATTATTAACAAGACTATGCTGCACGTTCTTTTGAGTTTGAATGGAAAGTAGCGGGAAATAATCCGGGTAGAAGGTTATATATGTGGAAATAAAATGGAATAATAATAATAATAATAATAATAATAATAATAATAATAATAATAATAATAATAATAATCGCAACAACAATAATAATAATAGAAAAAATAAAACAAAATGAAACCCGAAAGCAAAACAACACTCTACTTGAATAACATTAAGAGTAATAATCACATCAATAAACATTAAATTAAAAAATAAGCTTCGTTAATGTAACTTAACAAGAAAATGACAAAACAGAAACAAAAAAACATAGAACATGCATTTGCATTTATTCATGATCTGGAAATTTAATTACAAACCGAAATCGTCAGATACCATTGTATTTGTGGAAATTTTTATTTCAGGTAATTTACCCGGGATTAGGATATCATTTATGAAATTTAATTGCAACAATGTCAGGCGTACCGCATATTAATTATAAAACAACGCATTCTAGTCAAATGAATAAATTTCATCGAATCGAAGACGTGTATACAATTAAAAATAATATGCATGTTAAAATGAAAATTTTTAATTCTCGAACTGCTGAAAGCTTATTATTAAAATGAACAAAAAAAAACCTTTTTAAATTTGATGTTTCATTATTCAAATAAAGAAGAAATTAATTTTTCACGCCCGAGTTTGTGACATTCTTGTTTTGACATATTAAGCTTATCAATGTAATTGAAAATGTGTTAAATGCTTTCAGGCGGTAACATTAGCTTTTCACCAATGAAAGTGGAAAGAGAATAATTTCTTAGTAGAGATGGCAATCGTGCGGTTCACGAATAAATCACACAATTGTGAATGGCGAAGAGCGCGAGGGGAAATTAATTCTTCGTCGCTTATATGTTTTCGTTTTCAACTAGCTGCGGCCATTAACAGAACCACAAAGTCCACAACATCAACGGATTTATAATGAGGCTTTGACCTCTCCGATCCCCGTCATCGCGTCCCCACATCTCATCCACCTAATCCCAGACAAACGAGCACTCGGTCAGTGTTTACGGGAAGGACACGTGAGAGGGAAAAAAAGAAAGAAAAACAAGATAGCGGATGCAAATGAATAGGGTAAAGAAAGTAAAGGAGAAGCCAGCCGCCAGCACGTCTTGAAGAAGACTGTCGCGCCTGGTGGAACGGCTCGCTACGGGCTCACTACGGGCTCACTACGGGCTCACTACGGGCTCACTACGGTCTCACTACGGGCTCACAACAGGATCTCACAACGGGATCTCACAACGGGATCTCACAACGAGCTCACAACGGGGGATCACACAACGAGCTCACAACGGGATCACACAACGAGCTCACAACGGGATCTCACAACGGGATTTCACATGCCCCGGGCACAACACTCGACGACGACGCTCCAAACCTGCTCGTGCTGCTGCGTCTCCTTGGGCGGCGACGACGACGACGAAGACGACGATGGCGGCGGCAGTGGCAGTGGCAGTGGCAGCGGTAGCGCCGATGGAGGCGGTGGCGGCGGTGGCGGCGATGACGGCGACGGTGGCGAAGATGTCGGTAGGGTCGCCTCCTGGGCGGCGGCGACGAGCTCAGCGCACTGCGACGGGGCGCAGGCCGCAAAGACGGCGCACTGCCTCGGCTGTGCCGCGTAGTGCGCGTGCATGACGGAGTGCTGTCCGTAATTAGTGCAATGCTGCTGCTGCTGGAGCTTCTGGGCCTGCACGACCGAGGTCGGGGTCGCGTGGACCGTGTAAATAGGCGCGGCTGAGCTCTGCGCCTGGGCGTTCTGTCGCTGATAGCCCTGAGAGTACAGCGAGTACTGCGAGACGTTCGAGTAGATCTGTTGCTGCTGCTGATAGTTTTGCGGGTACATCGGCTGGGACTGATGATAAGCCTGGAGATGCGGGGCTGCGGGAGCGTAGCCGGGGGCGTGGAATTTCAGCACGGGCCCGTAGAGGTTGTTGGGGGTGGGGCAAGCGGGGCCGAGGGAAGGCCCGAGCACGTAGGAGCTCGAGGAGCTCGACTGCGACGGGATAGCGAGTCCGGCGCTGTTCGCCTGGGGCGGGATCGAGCAGGCCGGGATCGCCGGAGCGACGTCCTGGGGCAAGCTCGAGGGTCCGTGGCCGCCGAGCTCCGGGGCGCAGGCCTCGGCAAAGTTGCCGGCGAGACTCGGACTTTGACTCAAGCTACCCACGATTACGGAGCTCTGGCTGAAGTTCGCTACCGGGCCGTAGATTTCGAGGGCCACCGAGGAGGCGCACGTTGTAGACCCCGGAGTAGACCCCGGGAATTTGTGAGCCGGCGAGTAGACGTCGCCGGTGGCGAGTTTGCTCACGGGGTACGCTATGCTTTGCTGAATGTCTTTGATCTGATGTTGTTGCTGCTGTAGCTGATGTTGCTGATGTTGCTGTTGTTGTTGTTGTTGTTGTTGCTGCTGTTGTTGTTGTTGTTGCTGCTGCTGCTGTTGCTGCTGCTGCTGTTGTTGTTGTTGTTGCTGCTGCTGGTGCTGGTGCTGGTGCTGGTGCTGGTGCTGGTGCTGGTGCTGGTGCTGCTGCTGCTGCTGCTGCTGCTGCTGCTGCTGCTGCTGCTGCTGCTGCTGCTGCTGCTGCTGCTGCTGCTGCTGCTGCTGCTGCTGCTGCTGCTGCTGCTGCTGCTGCTGCTGCTGCTGCTGCTGCTGCTGCTGCTGCTGCTGCTGCTGCTGCTGCTGCTGCTGCTGCTGCTGCTGCTGCTGCTGCTGCTGCTGCTGCTGCTGCTGCTGCTGCTGCTGTTGCTGTTGCTGTTTACGAGCAACGTTGGGGGATTGCTGGCTCTGCACCGACTCGGATATGCTGAGATTCGAGAGGAACGAGGATATGGTATCGGAGGATTCGAGCGAGTCGAGGTTAGACTCGGAGAGAGTGAGATCGGAGGTTAGGGAGGTCTGGGCCTCGGAGGTGGACATGAGGGGCTCGGCGAACGGCAGGTCCGACACAATGGCCGTGGTGAGGACTTTGTCCTCGTCCTGGAATTGCACGGCGAGCGAGTTGAAGGGGGTCGCGGGGGTCGTATACACCGAGGGACATACCCCTCGTGCCTGGCTCTCCTTCATCAGCTGCGCGAGGACCTCCGGGCTTTGGGCGACGATGTACGTGGACACGGGGGCGGTGAGCTCCGACTGATCGACCGCCGAGTTGCAGCCTTGTCGGCTGATTCCTGGGGGCTTGGCTGCTGGCTGGGCATCATCCGCTCCCACTATAAAATCGAAGGTTGCTGGGTGAGTGTCGATCGATCATATCGTTCTCTGACTCTCTCAGTCTCAGTTATGTCGATCGTCCCATTAATTGCTCTTGTCCATGAAGTTTTGGCGCGTAGTTGGATGTGAATGTGATATGGAATGGATATTGTGGATAATATGACTGGATACGAGGATGAGAAAAGTTTAAACGCTCGATAAAATGTGTATAGAATTTCTTCTTGTCCAATTACTTGGGAGTTCCTTGTGTACTTGTTTGACCGTAAAAGCACTAAATACAATATAACGAGAGTAACGAATCAAGCATAAACATTGTAATACATTGCTACGCGATGATTTTGATCAATAAGTCGTAATGTTTAGAAAAGCAAAAAAAAAAAAAAAAAAAAAAGTTTACATTACGCTCCAAAAATGAAATCCCATAACTGTTCATCGAACATTTAAATGCATTTTAGGACATTTAATTGTTGTTCAGATCATTTTCTAATGTGCAATAATGTAATAATTATGCAAAGATCAGCTATTTTTGCGTGCCCAAATTATTGTAAAAAAAAAAAATATCTGATAGCATTGAACTCGCACCGCTCACTCGTTTTAGAATTGACAAATGATTTATCTAAATGATTTATCGTAGGCAGTCTACGTTATCTCGCTCGCTAATTATAAAAGTAATTATAAATGTAAGCCGACTAATCCTCAAGGTTAATGATATACAAACGATTTTCCTCACCCCACGACATAGCCTGAACTCTTCGATTTTCTCTGCGCATACTTTCTTGCTGTTGATGCCGTTCCTCGATCAGAATCTCGCTAAATTGGCAAACAGAACAGAATTGTTGTAAATATAAGGAACGGAAAATATCTATCCAGGCGTGTAAAAATAATAATGGGAATCCGACAACGTACTGTAGGTTCTCGCGAATATCCTTGAAAGTTGGCCTTTTGCTCGGCTCGTAACTCCAGCATTGGGACATTAGGGAGTAGAGCCGAGGCGGACAATGACTCGGCAAAGCTAATCTTTCGCCATTCTCCAGTTTACCAATGACTTCGTTATTTTTCACTCCTTGAAATGGTTTCACGCCAAACATGAGAATCTCCCACATACAGACACCTGCAAATTATGCGCATTGATAAAGCCTTGGAATCTTGGAATCTGCCACCACAGACCTTTCACTACGGGCTTTCGATAATGTTCGTTACAACAGTGCTTTTATCGACCTTTAATATATCAATCTATTTATTTATAAAATCATTTCACATATAATAATCACTTTCTTTCTTTCATTCTTTCTTTATATAATCTATTTTCTCTCTCTCTCTCTCTCTCTCTCTCTCTCTCTCTCTCTCTCTCTCTTTCGTGATAAATAAACAATGTTGTCGTTTAGATTTTAATTTTCGAAATAGCTCGAATGCAATATACGTACAAGTTAAGGTAAGAGATATAATCGAACGTTGCCTCCAATAAATAAACGGGGCGCACTCACCGAACATCCATACGTCCGAGGAGGTGGTGAACCTGCGGAAGTTAATGCTCTCCGGGGCCATCCACTTGATCGGCAGCTTGCATTTGCTAGCCGTGTAGTAGCTCTGATCCTCGACCCACCGGCTCAGTCCAAAGTCCGCGAGCTTGACGCAGTTGTGCGCGGAGACGAGGACGTTCCTCGCCGCTATGTCGCGGTGCACGAACTTCTTGCTCTCGAGATACGAGAGGGCGGTGCTCAGTTGAAAGGTATAGAGGAGGAGGGTGGCGAGATCGAGCCGGTGCTTGTTCGACTGGAGGTAGGCTCGCATCTCTCCGAGTTTCGCCAATTCCATCACCAGCCAGATCGGAGCCTCGGAGCAGACGCCGATCAAGCGGATTATGTGCGGATGCTCGAACTGTTGCATTATATCTATGGATTGTAAAGACCCTTGACGTTAATTCACCGATACCGTCTCTTCTCTCTCTCTCTCTCTCTCTCTCTCTCTCTCTCTATCTCTATCTCTATCTCTATCTCTCTCTAACTTAACTAATTGGCGTTAACATTCTTATTTCTATCATTTATTTCCTATTCATTATAACTTAGTGCTTTGAAAGAATAAGAGCGCGCATTGACAATGTCAAAGTACTAAATTCAGTGAAACGCTATTTGACAATTAACTAATTATAGTTATTAATTATTAATTGGAGATTATTTAAAAAAAATTCATTTCGTTAATTGAAAAATCAAAATATCCATTATTCGGTAAAATTTTGCTAATAATACATTAATATATTTACTTGAGTATCGTACGTTTTATCATTAAGTAAACCGTCAAAATTTTAGTAAACAATTTATTTGTGAAAAAAAGATGGACAAGAAAGAACAAAATATTATTTATATTTACGATTATCTTATAAATGACTACATTTTTTAATTATTCTATTATCAAAAAGTGAAATTATTACCTACAAGCAATGCAAGGAACATTTTTTATACAACAGTTACATATCATAATTCATTAGCTATGCGAGGACAATTATTATTTATCCTCTATTCACTTACATACATACATATATATATATATATATATATATATATTGCTTTTATTTATAATTGTTAACGTATTGTAAATCACTTTCGTTTCTCGTCAATAAAAATTCATTATATTTTTTATGTTTATGTTATAGCAAAAAGCAGAATTTTTATAATAATTAATATGCTCGCGTCGTCCTTTTTATATATTAATAGATTGTGTATTTTTTTTCTCTCTATGAAAATTATTTAAGATCTCTTTGAAATATTCACTTTGTAATTTTGTGCAATATTACGTTATTATACTAAAGATTAATAATGTAAAATTAACATAAATGAAAAGACATTATAATTAGAGACCTGTTAATAATTTACTAAAACAGTAATTACTTTATGGCTGCATAAATGAAGGATGAATGATGTCACGTACATGTCATGTACACGTATTACGTAAATTCGAATGGTTGGTCAGTAATAATATAATATAAGATACATTCATAAACTTTATGATAATCATGATCGAATAATGTTTATATAGCGTTGTAAATATTTACAAGAGTATTTTTTCTGGATAAATTTTTATATGCTTTAATAATAGTAATATACTTTTGTAAAATATTATATAAGAATATTAAACATATTGTATATAAATAATTCCTTTGCTTAGTCGTTAATAATACTTTATGAAGAATATTTGTTCAATTTTGACATTATTAAAGTAATATTTTATTTTACACTTATTCATTATTTACATAAGAATGCATTTAATAATAATGCATTTGTTGATTTAAGTGAATAAAAATAATACAAAGTTCAATTCTCAATATTTATTTCAAATAAGCTAAGAACTTTTATGTGACACTAAATTGAAGAATCACGTTATACATTGTTAATCGATAACTGCTGATGGAATCGATAATGGCAATATAACGTGACTGTTGTCTTCAACTGAGCGTATTATAATAATACATCATTACTTTCTATTAATAAAAATCAGACATACGTAATCATGTGATAGTTTCAAATATTTAGGAGGAAGCTATTAGAGCTTAAAATATCTTTTAATATTTTCATCGTTTAAATAGTACGTCATTTCCAATTATTAAAGATATTGTATATTAATACTTAATTTTTTAATCTTGGTATTTATATTACATGTACAAAGGTCATAAATTAACAAAGAAAGAAATTGAATCTTATAAAAAATATCGACAAGATCAAATTCAATAATTTTACATTAGATTCACTGGATCTCGTTCACTAAGTTTTTTCAATTTTATTATACGTTTGGTATATTTAAATTATAGTGAGCAAAATTTACAGACTATATCCAGCTATGTACATTAATAAAATAATTTTATTATCGTGAGAAGTAAAAGCCTGGTAATGCTATATTTTCTATTACGAGTAACTAAGGAAAAATATAGCTTTTAATAAAAAATTATAAATCTGTTAAGTAAAAATAAAAGGTACTGGGGAGAAATGTAAGGAATCGTAAAGGTTTAATTAAAAGATCGAAAACTATATGCGTTTATAAATTATGATTGTGATAGTATCTTTTTCTATACTGTTTCATTGATGCGACGTTTTCTTAAAGTTATTTCTAAGAGCTAAATATTAATAAAATTGCATTACTACAATTTTTTACATCCACTTACGCATATTTGTAATAATTATTGTAATTATTGCTGATGCACATGACATTTTATTGAAAATTCCATTCTTATCAGTCACATTAAAAATAATGCTTTTATAGAGTTGCATGTCGGAAATTAGTAGTAAAATGTAAATACGTTTTATTTTTATTTTCTTAAATTAAATTAACTACTTACAGGCTTCTTCAAGAAATTTTTCAGATGTCGCTAAATCTGCATCGACTTTGCAAGTTTTTACAGCAACTGGTACAGACTGACCATCTCGACCTTTATAGGAGCCCTTGTGAACATTTCCAAATTGCCCTTCCCCAATTATTTCACCTAATTCCACTTGATTTCTGACTATTTCGTAATCACGAGCTGAAGATTAAAACAAAAAAAAACAAAAAAAGATTATATTTAGATTAGTTACCATGAACGTATTCACTTATGAATTATAAATGATATATATATATATATATATATATATATATATATATCTTGTGTTGTATTTATTTTAATAAAAGAAACATTCTATTTAGAAAAGATAAATTAATTTGTAAGTATTGCATTTTTTCTCAATTAAAGATATGCTATTTAAAAGAAGAAAAAAATGTAATAATTAAGAGTACAATTCGAATGTACGGATAAATGTTTGGACTTTATCACGGTTTATAGTATCGACTATTTTGTAAATAAATAAAGCTTTTACGGAGTTGAAACATCGATAGAATAACAAGGCATACTAGATGTAATTAGAGTCAATGAATAATTTTATCTTACGTATAAAAGAAAATAAATAGACGATGTTTCATAAAAGTTGAATTACACCAAAGTACTCAATAAGTTGTATTACATTACAATAAATTGTATTATTTTTGAAAGAACGAAGAAGAAAAAAAGCTTACTAGCTGGTGTAGAATAATCTCCCTCTTCGTCGACGATTTCTGCATAATCTTCAGATAAAATTGTTCCAGTCTTATTAACACTTTTTTCAGGACTCTCTGTAACATCTTGTCGATATTTTGGTGGCTGAGCATCTGTCAAAATAAAGTACCAGTTAGAATTCAAACTTTTATACTGTCCCTTAGTAAATACATTAAGACAAAAATACAAACCTTTACAAGGACAGGGATAGTTTTTCCAAGAAGCAGCTTAAAGCGTAAATAATTAGACTTAGTTGTGTTAAAACATAAGATTCAGAGATTTACAAGATTATTAGATATTCATTTTAGTAGGTATAAGATATAAGAATATTATTTGTTAAATGTCAGTAAAATAATGTCTCTCTCTTTCTCTCTCTCTCTCTCTCTCTCTCTCTCTCTTTCTCTCTCTCTCTCTATTATATATTTATTAAATATATATTAATGTTATATCCAATGAAAGTCATAAATCAAAATTTCTAATTCTTATTGAGACTATATAATTGAAAAGTTTGATTTATTCAATAAGGCAGTAAATTTTACTGCTAACTTAATCGTAGGAGATTTAAGTGTAACATGTTTGTTGATAAATTGTTTTTTTTTTATTTTTGTTCACGTAAATGTAAAATATAGTTTTTATCTAATATTATTGCCTACAAAAACGTCATATGCACGGTAAAGTTTATTTCCATTTATTTCAATAAATTTATATATGAACAATTTTTCTCCTTCCCTTTATTATTATTATTATTATTATTATTATTATTATTATTATTATTATTATTATTATTATTATTATTATTATTATGAATATTATTTGCATAAACCAATTGTTTGCATTCCTTGTGTATAATAATTTTAAGAATGATATTTGCTAAGGACGAAAGCCGAATAAATATCCAAGTATTTAATTATATTTATAAAACATTTGCAATTAAGTGTTAGAAAGAAATCAATTAGCTCTAGAGTTACACTGCCTTTTCACTTTCTCCTTAATTAATTACCTTTTCTATTCCACAATGAGGTGTTGCTGCCAGTCATTAATCTGCAATATCCATCAATTAAATCTGCGAGACTTTCTGCTTGATCAAGACTCGAGCACGTAATACTGAGAGTTTCGGAAGCACCAGCTACTCTGAGCTTAATGCACGCCTTTGTGTGTTCTTTGCAGTCGGAAACCAGTGTTTGTATTGACTGGATTTGGGTAAATTCGGCCATCCTGGTCGGCTAAATTATAACATTGGCTTTATTTTTATTACCACGCGTTATAAGATGCCTAATGACTCATTATATATATATATATATATATATATATATATATATGAAGAGAATTATTAGAAAATTCAAATAAAATATGTTTCTTAATTACCACAGTGCCACCTCGATGTGCCATATATGATATTCCGAGATCCGGACCAATGACTAGCTCTACAGGAATAGACCAACTCGTCTATAAAAGATACAAAATGTTTAGAATAATATAATGCCGACACATACGTAAAGCACACACATATCAATATCAATTTCAATTTATATATATATATATATATATACATATAAATATATATCAAGATAGCTTACCCCTAAAGCGCAAATAAACCTCTCTTGATCAAATCTATAATGTGATCGTAGAAGGTCAAAAAACTTGTACATACATTCAAGTTCAGAGAGAGCAGCAACTTTTTTGAAATGCTGTTGTATAAGTTTTCGTAATGCTTTCGGTTTCATGCCATTCAACACTGCACGGGGTAAAAATTTGTGCAAGCCAACCTGTTCAAACAATAAAAAAAAATAAAAAAAAAAATAAACAAATAAATAAATAATTGCCCATTATACATTTATAATTCTGTAATTTATTGACCGATTATTTTCTAATTACATTACTATACGTGAAATGTCAATTATAATATGCATGCATATGATATTATTAGTAATAAAACATCGGCTCAATTAATTTAAAAAAAAAAAAAAAAAAAAAGCGACGATTACTTTCGCATCTTTTAAAGTTCTACAAATTTCGCGTTATTTTAACGCATTAAAATAATTTCACGCAATCAATTTTCTATATTATTTATTGTTCTTATTATTATAAATAAATGAAACACATGTCTTACAAAACAAAAATAAAATATTAAAATGAAATATTAAAAGAACGTATAAAGCAAATGAAATGCTAAGAGAAACAACTTAGGTGCCAAACTTTTAATGGACCGTTATAATTACGTCCGAAACACTACAATATTAATTTAATTCATACCTCTTTTTCCAAATAGTCCAAATTGCTTTTCTTATCGAGGGCTATTTGAGGCATATCTTTAAAGAAATATCTAATTTCTAAACAACACAACTGAACAGCGACATCTTGATCCAACGTTACGTGATTCGCAGTCAAATAATCATTTCTCACCTGTAATAAATATTATAAAAATCGTATATTCTCAATGTAATGCACGGCATAACTGTTTAACTTTAATTACATGCAACTTAAGTCTTGGACGATTGCAATGCCGATGAATTTATGAATTTTGCAATTACCTGATCGTAGTAGTAGTAAAACGTAACTTTATCCTTTTCGTAGAGATCGTTTAAATTTTGTGGCAAATATCGCACTCTCAGCTCATACCTCCACTCGCTGTGTGGATGCTTTTTCTCATACTTTTCTTGAACCTGAAACATTAAGTTAAGTAAGGCTATTAACACTTTTATATAGTTTTGTATAACAGAATAAGAGGAATAGTTTAATATTTATAGAAAAGACCAGTTGCGCATGCGAAACTTGGAAATGCCTGCGCCAATAGATAATAATTTAAACTCAAATTATCGTTACAATGATACAATCGTTATAATGAAAATTAATGGGGTATCAGTATCAATTAAGGCAGACTATTTACGCAAAGTAAGAAACCAACGCTCTGATTATGCAAAATATTACGTAAAATCATTATAACTAATAGACGCTTTACGGCAATTTACTTAAGCAAGTACTTCAAATGAAACTACAATTCTTATTAAAAAAAAAAAAAAAAAAAAAAAAAAAAAAATATATATATATATATATATATAATAAATTGGAATCGCACGGAGATTATGTGAACGTGCCTGATACATAGTTGTGTCTTGGTGCAGCCAAAAGCTTTCTCCAGAAGCCGGATGATGTAATCGCATAGCGTAAAGATTCCTATAATGTCTTATCCCCGCTGCCAGTCTGGTTGTTACCAGCGATATGATTCCTTTAACATCGATGGCATCGCCAAATTTCACCACGTTGAAACCACCTGCAAGACAATGCTTTGTTGATATTTTTGAAATTGCTTATACATGTTTTAAGGCTCAATAGCTCCAAATTCGACTCCTAGTTATCATACCTATTTCTCATGAATTGGATGTAAAAATTAATTTTCAACCTCCCAAAATTAACACATTTTACGGATAAAATAGAAATTTGCTAGCTTGGATGCTAAAGGACAAATAAAAAGAACTTTTTATAAACTTTTAATTAATTGTTGATTATGGAAAACGATAAATTTACTTCTCATCTGCTAAGCGTTTCGATAGAAAGTATTTCCCTTGTATTAGCAAAGATAAAAACAAAACAAAAAAAAAACAAAACAAAAAAAAAAAACCAAAGGCTATTATTGAATTTCGTGTTAAACGTTCCTCTCATATTAAATTGTTGTATTAAAAAAAAAAATTTTTCATTACAATTAATTAACATATAATAGAGAAAGCCAAGGGTTGATAAAACAGGATTGGTAAATATTTCTTATTTGACTGAAAAATTACTTGTCCTTATATAATAAATCGTTGATTACAATGAATAATAAACATAAAAGAAAAAAAGTTAAACACTATATTATGTATGGCGTCGGACATAAATTAATTATATTTTACATTAATATGCCGTTATATTGATCAAAGCGTTGAGATCGTTTTTTTTTTTTTTTTTTTTTTTTTTTTTTTTTTTTTTTTTTTTTAATTAAAGAGCCAGCAGTCCCCAAGTTAAGAATAAGAATTGAACGTTCGACAGAATTATAATAAACGATAGTTAATAAATTATGTGGACGTTGTCCGAATAATCCGAAGGAATGCACTCTAAAAGTAATTTTCGTTTTCTCGGTTATTCGATTTTTCTTCGATTTTTCAATTTGAATTGGACGCATTAGACGTTGACTACGAGAGGACAAAGCCGTCGTAGCAATACATCAAGATTTCGTTAAATGAAAAAAGTATGGCTCGACTCACCATTTGGAAGATGAACCTTAAGGGTTGCTTTATCCATGGGGGTGGGTGATCCATGGGGAGGAGTATTTCTGCCGCCTTGAACCCCGCCGAGGCCGCCACCACCGCTGCCATCGCCTCCAGCGCTCATCCCCTCATGACTGGGCAAAAAATAATACAAGCCACCCTTAGACCAAGACCATTCACTTGACAATTGGATTTTCAATAATCTTAAATTAAATTGCATTTGTGAATTAGAGGGCATTTGTTGATCAATCGATATTGTAATTTCGATTAGGCGCGTGTAAGATTATTCGGTGTTGTTGACTTGCGTCTCGAACGACAAGGGGCCTGCTGCAAGTATTTTTGCATGTTTTTTTTTTATTTTTTTATTTTTTGTTGGTTTCAAGGGACGAAGCACCGAGTTCCTTATTTAACAATAATTTCTTCATCCGCGATATTTTTAATATGCCAATTGCCATTACCAATTCGCCATTCGTTTTCCATGGGTCAAGACCGTTGATTCAAGTCACGACGCCTCGACGTCACTTTTTATGATTATAAAAATTGTTAATGTTGGCTCGAAAGGTTTATAGGACATGAATTCATGAAAATGCGAATTAAAATTATTCACGTTATACGCAGGTATTTGTGCGCGTGACCTCCTATTTATTAATATACCATTAAAATATCACATACGAAGAGCAAGTTTTAAAGAATAACATTAGATCTTCCATTCAACTCGACGAATATTTACGATATATAAATAAAGACTTAATTACAATTAACTGAATAATTTCAGCACATCGTTAAAACATAACGAGATGCGCTAATTAAAATAAACGAATTGTCCATTTAACCGTTACGTGACTTATATAATTTATACTAATCAATGATTTAACGTGACTTTTTTTGCATTCGCTTATTGTTGTTGAATTATTGCAGAAGCGTTAAATGTGTCGTGTATGTGCAGATTATAAATGTGTCGTTAAAACGTTGAGATTTTTAAATTTTGATGAAACTTCAAACAAGGACGAAATGCTGGGAGAAGTCGTTGTTATTTTCACTATTTATTCAATTTGCTTGACCAATGTCGTCGCGTAAAATAGGCATTTTACAGTATAGTCTCGCATCGTATAAAGAAGAAAGAGAGAAAGAAAAGGAACGTTAAAATTATGCACAGTTTGGGCATATTAGGATAACGAGACGCAACGAAAAAGACAAAACGAAGGATTTCGAGAATCGATTGAATTTTCTCGTCGAAGGTAACGTATTCATTCGCGCACGTTCGGCACGTGAATGCGAACCAAATGGTATGAGGAGATCGGTGAGATGGGGAGTTGGGAGGGGTAGGTGGTGGTGGTGGCGGTGGTTGGGAGGGGGGAGAGAGAGAGAGGGGGGGGGGGTACAAGCAAACAAAACAAGGTAGTCTTCTGTCCGTTTCGAATGATGATGATTCGTCACTTGCTGACCACCGCAATCCTTTTCGCTCTCACGACAATAAAGGACAATACGAGTGGTCGTATCCCAATAATACCCCGTCAGGGACCTCTTTTTTTTGCGTGATCTTCATGGGCCAATAAGAGTTTATCCACTCGACGAGTTATTTCTTATATTTTATTCAATTTCCTGGTTGGCTCCCTTTCGTTGCGGGCTGCTGCAACCGAAGGGACCAACGAGGGTTAAAAGCCGAAAGACATTGAATTTATCAGAACTCATGTTATTATAACGAGACGCTCGTAAATTTCTCATCGCTCGGGTGTGATTTTAAAAGGGTTTTATTACAAGGAGAAATTGGCGATTGAATGTTCACTTTATCGTTCAAGTTCAACTCCCACCTACCGGCAAATAGTTATATCGATACTATTCATCTGCCGGAATACATTATTCTATTATTTATTTGCCATTGCCAAGAAAATACGCGTTCTCATCTCTACATTACATCTCTCTAAATTAAGAAAATCCGCATGCTTTATTATTTTTACTTAATTATCGTTTATATGCGTTGTATTTGTTTCAAAATTATAAATAAGCGGAGAAATTTCAGAAAGAGACGGGTATTAGCCATAATTTTTCACCCTTCCTATGTATATGAAGGACAAAATTGTTTGCAAAATTTTGTTAATATTTATAGCGCGTATATGTATATGTCATCGAGATTATTTCGAATTAACGTAAAGCTCGCCAACCAGTACTCGATACTTCAAGGCATTGACAAAAATCACGAAATCTTTGGTCGATCGAATAATTAAACTAAATATTATAATTATGCGAAGGGATAAGGACAGGGAAAGGACAGGGAAAGCAGAGATATTGGATAAAGCTTCAATGGTCGATAATATGCACTTTTGTTGGTTATCCAATTTGTATTACACATTCGTAATACACCAGGCGTAATTAAGTACTTGGCTATGTGCGCGTTTACTTAACATTTTATTCATCAAATCGCTTAAAATTTAGTTTAACCTTATTAATTTTTGTACAGTTTTATGAATTTTTGCATTCTAATGGTCCAACAATATTTACACAAAATAGCATTGAATTTTGTTACCATTTGTTATTGGTGGCAATTTTCGTTTTGCTTACGAATTGATGTTACTCTTAATAGCACACAGGGTTTTGGAAGTGCTGGCTCGTTACGACTTAACTTATATTTAGTCTGCCGTGTTACTCCCAAAGAAAGTCTTGTCAATCACAATAAGCTCGATTTTGCATAAAAATTTATCGCCCAAAATAATAAAGAATTGTAGCGATTCATTCCCGCTTTATCATGAAAGTACAATTTACAAAAGCCAATTATGCAAAAGGAAATAAAGCCTCGCTCGCGGTATTCGGCACATTACGTCTCTCTCTCTCTCTCTCTCTCTCTCTCTCTCTCTCACTCACTCACTCACTCACTCACACGCACACGCGCGCGCGTTAAAAGACTAAAAAGACTTAAGCATTTAATAGGAGCTTAACAAACAATAATGCGACCTAGGATTAAGCATCGAGACCGAGCGCCTCTCTACTTGGCTTACCGTTCATTATACATATGCTAAAAGACCGAGAAGCTCATTAAAAATAAGCTGCGGCATGCACCAGATGCGCGAAGAGGAGGTTAGGCTTGAGAAGCGAATAATGCGTAAGATGAAGTAACTAAGTAAGAGCGCGACAGTTGGCGTCCATGGGAAATTCGCTTAATCGAAAAATGCCAGAAGAACGAGGTCGAGAGATTGGCACGACACGACGAGCTTCTATTTAAAAGTCCTCCCACCAACGTTTACACATAATCGTAGCCGATCGCCATTACAGGCTATCGAGGCGACAATCGCAGGACAAAAAACAGTCGCGCCTCCCCGACCCATCGCCCAACGAACCCACTGGACTGTAATGATGGTTCGTCGTACCAGAGCGAGTCGGCGTCATCGGCTGGCAGCAACGGCGCGAGCTGAGATTCGCCCGGCTTTAACCGGTCGATGCACAGCCACAGTCGGCAAAAGTTATACATCCTCGGCCCCGCACTAACCCCGAGGCCCGGCGACGAGCTTTAACTCTGTGATACTTGAGCTAAGCAAGTGCCTCGGCTTCCCCACCCCCAATAAGCCTCGAGTCTCCCGGATAGCCAAAATACACGGAGCTTCGTGGGCGGAGGGAGGCGTCGCCGCCGCTGCAGCCGCCGCCGCCACCGCTGGCACCTCCACCACTACCACCACCACAACCGTCGTAGTCGTAGTAGTAGTCATTATCGTCGTAATCGTCGTCGTCGTCGTCGTCGTCGTCGTCGTCGTCGTCGTCGTCGTCGTCGTCGTCGTCGTCGTCGTCGTCGTCGTCGTCGTCGTCGTCGTCGTCGTCGTCGTCGTCGTCGTCGTCGTCGTCGTCGTCGTCGTCGTCGTCGTCGTCGTCGTCGTCGTCGTCGTCGTCGTCGTCGTCGTCGTCGTCGTCGTCGTCGTCGTCGTCGTCGTCGTCGTCGTCGTCGTCGTCGTCGTCGTCGTCGTCGTCGTCGTCGTCGTCGTCGTCGTCGTCGTCGTCGTCGTCGTCGTCGTCGTCGTCGTCGTCGTCGTCGTCGTCGTCGTCGTCGTCGTCGTCGTCGTCGTCGTCGTCGTCGTCGTCGTCGTCGTCGTCGTCGTCGTCGTCGTCGTCGTCGTCGTCGTCGTCGTCGTCGTCGTCGTCGTCGTCGTCGTCGTCGTCGTCGTCGTCGTCGTCGTCGTCGTCGTCGTCGTCGTCGTCGTCGTCGTCGTCGTCGTCGTCGTCGTCGTCGTCGTCGTCGTCGTCGTCGTCGTCGTCGTCGTCGTCGTCGTCGTCGTCGTCGTCGTCGTCGTCGTCGTCGTCGTCGTCGTCGTCGTCGTCGTCGTCGTCGTCGTCGTCGTCGTCGTCGTCGTCGTAATCGTCGTCGTCGTCGGTGTTCCCCTTTTCGCGTAACACGACACTTTGCGCGCGACTCATTAGCGATCACCTGCTCCAAGGAAGGGTCCCGAGCGCCCTCTCGATCCATGTCGACCTACATTTACCCGGCTACCGAGCCACCTGACCCACTGTCCCGAAGACCGCTCCACGGATTCTCCAACAATCGCCGTATCTTCGCACCGCCCATTCATCAAACATCGCGCGCCTCCTTATTGCTCGCACTATCCTTCCGATACGTATAAAGATGCCCATTAGGTGGATGACGGGGACCTGGGGGATCGAGGGGTTGCGCTAAGTTTGGAGAGGGAGGGGTTGAGCCACGAAGTGACGAGCTTCGTTCCTCGAGACTTTCGAAACGTCCGATCTTTCACGCTCGTGATCTCCTCCTTAATATCATTCCTGTCCATTAAACTAGCTAGCTAGATTGGCATTTAAACGGGGATAAAAACGCCATTGTCCCGTTAAAAGGCGAATAAAGTACCGAGGTCCGATCGCCATGACCGTGAGAATTTGATGGATAGATAGAGTTTTCTGCGTAATGGATGTCGGTGGGCTTTCGCATAATAATAGCGGATTGTCTGCTTGCACGATGGGCCTGCCCGCGCCAACCATCGCGCGCTCTCTCCGTTCAGGCCGAAAAGCACGAGTCCGAGGAATGAATAAAACAAAGAGACTCGTTTAAAACGAGCCGAAAGCGACCGAAGATACGAGGCATCGAGGATATCGAAATTCTTTTGTCGGCCGGTAATGCGGACGACGCCAGGAAGGGGAGGAG